CATTACTATTATCTCACGGGATAAAAAAAAAAATATTGCTTCCTAAATCCTTGACGAATCTTCTTTTATTATTATTGTTGTTATTGTTGTTGTTGTTGTTGTTGTTGTTATTATTATTAAGATTTATTTTTAATGATTTTTGCTTTAACTTTATTATTTTAAGACTTAAGATAGATAGGCTTATTGATAGTAATAAAAACTTATTTTAACTAAATATTATGAGACAATTGTATATATTAAGAGTATAAATGATTATTGCGAGTATAAAATGGTATAAAGCTATTTCACAATGTAACTATAAATTGTCATTATTAATTCTCCAAGAATGGTAAAGATATTGTTTTTATGAATTAAACACAAAAGTATCTTAATTTTTGTTCCCTAAAAAAAAAAATACATGATTAATTGTAATCGTCCATTTATTATTTTATTAAACCTAGGATTTAAGTATTAAAGTATATCACTGATATAATGAATACGTCGAGCGAGTGATCTCGTTATAAAAATGTATTTATCACGACGCACGAGGAGAAAATGATTTTAAAACTTTGTTTTTAACATTTTAAATGCTGTCTTATATTCTGTTTCAGTAAAAATGAGTATTTTACTATTTTCAATACTCGTTTTAAATGGCTGTGTTTTATATTTTACAGCCTTTTCTTATTAAAAATCCCGATTATTGTTCAAGCAACGTTTTCTGATGCTATTAAATGCACGAGGAGTAATCGAAGAAGAAATCACTCGATCGCTATTTTTATAACTTTCTTCGTTCCGCTAATGCTGACATCATGATTTATTGCACATCTATTGTTGGTAAGCTATTAATGAAATCTATCTCGTCGGTCGATTAATATACTTTATGATTTTATATATTAAAAACCATTTTTTTTTTGTTTTTTTTTTTTGTTTTTTTTTTGTTTTTTTTTTTGTTTTTTTTGTTTTTGTTTTTTTAATAGCAAAATAGGGTAATTTAAAGTAGACTTCTTCGTGTCGCGAAATTCTTCAAAATAATTAGCTGTCGAGTTCAACATCTTTTAAAGAATGATAAATATAGAGATTGTTGGGTCAATTACCTTTTCAGCTTACTAATGTCTAAGATTACTAAATGACTATTAAAATTATAATTTTATTCACTATATTTTTACATTTATGCAGGGATATAATTGTGATAACAAAATTGCATGACGTAACCTATTACTTCAATGCCTAACGGAGACTTCGATTTTCTCACTACTTACTCAACTCAATATGAGAATCTTTAATTTATCGATGAAATTGTAATGCATAAAATAAAAAATTTTCATTAAATCAAATGTATAAAGGTGATTATGAAGAAAAAATCGTTCTTCTTTTGAATATACAAAGCACATTCTTAAGTGACGTGTACTTGATATGATTAGACAAAAGCATTTACGTGCTTAATATGCAATATGAATAAATGAAAAGTAAATTAATTTTGTTCATATCAAACAATATAAATTGTAGAGATTTTTGCTTTATGAGCCAAATACCATTGGATATGGTTTGACGGCATTTCTCCTTGAGTTTATTTTTTTAGAAATAATTTATTAATGCGATTAACTCACTCTCCTAAGAGAATGATTTTGTTATTCTTTCAATTACATTACATGTACGCTCACTAAGAAATTAAATAAAAAAAAAGAAAAACTTTTCAGATCATTAGTTTTAATTCATTGTTTTCAATAATGTTTCCTTTAACTAATTTTGGTAGAATTTCGTTTCATCACCATTTCAAAACCCATGAAAAAAAAAAAAAAAAAAAAATACACCGAGCGACACACCGTAGTGAACTTGCCACACTCCACATTTCAATGACTTTTTCATTTTACTGATTCTCAATTTTTTTATGGATCCATGTATTGCGGTAGTTGTTCCCATTATCTTATAACAATTAACATGAAAATTATGCCTTCGTGGTTTTAAACAACGTTTCATCTTTCAAATCGACTATTCATGTTTCTACATTATAATATTTTACGTTTCTTTACAAATTCGTAATGAACTTAATATAAGTATAATCAACCATAACAGTATTACGATTAGTATAAATAAATAAATACATTATTAATGTTTTTTCGAATATTTACAAATCTTGTTAATTTTAATAAGTACATCGGTACATAGAGGATATTGTATATGGTAAATGTGTATCACATAATTGCAAAAATATTCTATCAATATGTGTTCAATAATTATATTACCTGTAATTAAACAATAATAATAGTATGTGCATGTATACTAAATCACAGACGTATGTATTAACTTCGATAAACTGTCGATTGATTAAACATTTTTAATTTATCATTTTTATAGGCATCATGTGAATGAATGTATACATAAATATTTCTTTAATACGATATTTTTCAATATTTTTAAATACTTGAAATATCTTACATGTAAATATATATATGTTGAATCGTTTGAATTATTAATTTACATATATTAAAATGATTTTTTTTTTTTTTTTTTTTTTTTTTTTTTAAATTAAATATTGATTAAAAAATATTTTCAAAAGTGCTCTAAAAAGTAATATTACGTTCTTGTAAGGTAAAAGAGGACATTGTTAAATATATCTCGAATTACCTTTTAAATATGGAAATGTTGCTGAAATTTGCAATATAAAGGCTAAATATTTATATAAAAAAAAAATAAATAAATAATATTTTAACGTGCATTTATGAACAAATTTTTAAACGTAAAAATGTCACTTTTATTTTATTTAAAGTATGCGTATATAAGAAGGTATTTCGCATTATAAATATTGGTATGCATTAATTTTAATTGAAAAAAAAAAAAATTAATGTTTTTACATTGAATTTTAATGCTCATATACAGTATTATATTAAGTATTAATGATTAATTAACTATTATAATTAAAGCAAAGCAAAGTAAAATTAAATACAATATTGAATAAAATATTTAACAATAGTACTGTATTATTCTTTAAATATTTATGTCATTGTGCTATATTTAAAAATCTCATATTTCTAAAACATTAATTGTATATTCATTCCGTAAAATGTTTAACTAGATGCAATTTAGAAAATATTTACTAAAATATGTTAATATTTGTATTAAAAATTAAGACGAATTTTGAATTTTATTAAACCTTGAATTTATATGAAAAATACCTTTATTTTAATTTCAAGAATAATAATTGATTTAAAAGTATTTGCCATTCATGTCCAACTTTCCAGTCAAAACCTTTCACAATTGGTTAAAAAAAATATTTTGTTTAAAATTATATTTTATAATTGATTGTGAAAAATGTTGTATTTAATTCACTTGTTTTTTACTTGCATTTAATCGTTCCAATTATTAATTTTTTTTTTTTTTTTTTTTTTTTTTAAAAATAAAAGCTTCTTTGCATCTATGAAGTGTTCAAAAAAAAAAAACAAAAAAAAAAATTAGTAAGACGGTATTTTAGGTGTTTAGTCACGGTAATTTAGCAATAAATATTGAATATGTACACATCAACTTTTGCCCTCATTATAATAACATTCCGATGTATTGCAAAGTCCAACATATTACGGGATACCTAAATAAAGACATAGCGACCATAAATTTTTCAAAATTAATGGTAAACTATTAAGATCGATTTTTAAATAGCATTGAAAAAAGTTTGATCACGAAACGTAACTTTTATAGTTGATTATATAGTTAATTAAGATTTTAATAACAATAATTCTTCGTAAGGTTGTAAATGTAGTTGAATTGTGCGCTTAAAGCTTTTTTATATTTTGTGAAAACTGCATTTTGTCGGGATATCTCGTAGGCCTCGATTGCATTTTTAAATATACTACGTAACGTATAATTGCACTTATCATGATTTTACATTGATAAATGTATTACAAATATTATATTAAACATTTACATAAAATAGATTCGTTTGCTTAATTAACTTATAAACTTAATATATCAAATAGTCGTATATTTTTGAAGTTCATGTAGGTAAAGAAAAACGAATTAATAGGAAATGGATAACTTCGATGCTCGAAACTCTTATTACAAAGAGATACTTTATATTAATGTATGATAAAGCGAATTTATTTTTGATTTATTAACATCGAGTCATTATATGATTAATAATAATTATATTCAAGCAAATGTTTTCAGTTGGTTACCATTTGAAAAAAGTCCGTAGAAGATTTTCAAATCAATAACATATTTCGATAATATTTTACATAGAAAATTACCACCACGTTATATGCAATTATTACGACATAGCAAGACAATATATTATAAATAAATAAATTGTCGTTATTGTTGTTTGAGACAATATACTACTTCCGTACCATTGCTTTAATTATAATTTTCAAATTTCAAAATTTTCAAAAATCTATCGCTACACCGAGTACAAAGCAATAATGTACTGACAATTGTAATTTGTTTCTATTTTTCCTTCTATTATTTACCCATACGTGTCTAATAAAATCAAAGGGCGCGTGTTAATAAATTGGCGGACCATTAACTTATCCATTAACGAGGAGATTCGACCCTTCAACTTCCAGACTCTCCATCATTCGACAAATGTAATCCAAGTATCGACTTCATGGACCACGTGCACATAATCATTAAGAGTGGACGATGATTAAACCAAGCCTCGCCTCGTTAGTGTGCGTCGGCATTAACGATGAGTGTGTGGTGTAAGCGCGAGGGGCAAAACATTCTTTCGTCTTCCGCGTCAAGTCCCCTCGACGATCTACGTAAAGGATGACGGAGACTAGAGTGTCGACTGGGGACTGCGGATAATACATAAATTCGCGTGTTGGCAAAATTTATAATCATAGCGTGTGCTGCTAATTAATCTACAGTCATAGGCAATTCTTACGTTGTCAAAGAATCGTTGGTGTGCGCGCTTGTGTGCACACGTGAGTCCGGTATGCCGTGAAATATGTGGTATTGTGAACGATGGAAAAGTCTTATGATGCCGCAGAGTTACCAAGTTAAATATAAAAAAGAACAGAGCCTTTTAATTGCAAATAATTTAATAAAAATGTTAATGCGTCATGTATGCTTGTACTGTAAAGCAGGAGTTGAATTGTAATTTTATAACCTTAATTGTTTATTTATATTATTCATAAAGTAAATTGGTTATAAAGCATATTTGTTATCATTGGATCGTTAAAGAAAGTGAAAATGCCTACTGTGTTAGCCTTAGATGTTTCTCTGTCGATGCGAAGACCGGTTGTTGGGGCAAATGTTGGCGAAGGCTTACAAGCCGAGCAGTTGACTAGACATCACTTGGCCATTCAAGGCATAAGTACTATTCTGCATTATTTGCAAAGCCACTCAAAACTTGAATTTGTTGCCTTGGTAAATACAATGTCTTTGTAACAATTTATTGATTGATTAACGATTGTACTCAAATATTCCACATGGTATGTGTTTATTTTAGATTGCATTTTCATCGCTGTACGAGGTTATATGTCCATTTACTAGAGACTACGATTTGATAAGATCAAAATTACAGAATATAGAGGAGTGCGATAAAACTTGCATAGAGTCAGCCTTACACGGCATAAATAATGTGATAATTTCAGAGTGGGGCAGTAGCACGGCTTGTCAAGTTATCTTAATTACCGATGGTAATCCAGGCGTTGGGTCAATGTCCTTAGGGGATTCGTTAAATTCTCTTAATTTTTCAAGAGATGCAAATCCTTTTCCATTACCATTTATATATCCTGGCAAACTGAGTCTTGTTTGTTTAGCGAATCAGTCGGGTAAGAAAGTATTATATTATGTATAATAAGAAATTATATTCTTGATGTGCTCGCCTATGCTCAACAGTTATTTTTAATCCAGTAAACTTATTGTGTTGGCATTTTAAAAATTTCTTTAACGTTAAAGTTTTTTTCCCCTCTTATGCGCAGATCCAAACTTGATAAGTTCCATACCTCTGTATCAAAAGCTAGTGGATTTGGCTGGAAACGATAGTATGCTTTTAGTACCCGAAGGGCAATTGTCAAAATTGTCCGTTACAAACTGTTTTAGAAAACTAGTCGAAACAAATTATGTTTCGTTTCAAGGATATTTAAAATGTGGCCATCTTGGATCTCGTATATTATTATCGCCACCACCGATGGTGAGCTAAGAAAACATATTACGTCGCAAATTCATGTTTATATTATTCTTATCTTAATCTCTCGTGTTATTTCTCTATTGAAGTTCCTTTCCTTATTTCAGCCTTATACTAAAAAATTAGACTTTGATATACTGACGGGCCTGTGCGTTTCAAAAACTATCGAGATATGTGGCTTTATATCAGTAGCGGACGTTGGTAGTCCTACATCGATATCGAGACATTTAGTTCTGCCATTACTTACTGAGAAAACGTCGAGTATGCAAGGTATTTCCTTGGAAGACGATTCTGATATAGAAGATGTAAGCGACGAAGGCAAAATACCATCGTTTTGTGTCTTATTACATGGGGCATTAAAGGTAAACGTCGACAACTTTAGCTTTTTATAAAACTTTTATGAACGACCCTTGCGTACGCAACTGTTCATTCGTTTGTGCAAAAGCAAAATAATTGATACTCGTACGATATACGACAATTATTGATTTAATATAATTATCAGGTGGAAAATATGGCGGCTTTGTGTTTATTAAACACAGATTGGTATGGATTTATTTATTCGTGGGCTGATACTAAAAAGAAATCTAATTTAATGCTGACCGTACTGGAACATGGCACGGACGTAGTTCCCTGGCTTGGAAATTTTCGCAATTTAGGCCCCGTTGATGCTGCAAATAAAAATGGAGAAATAGCTAATTTTCCTGTCAGACCTGCGGAGAAGAGAAGCTATTCCCAGAATGCCCCGTCATGGATAAGACAAATTGGACTGCAATCGGACATTCAAAAAATTCTCAGGCACGCAAGAAAACTACCAGAAAAAACTCAAAACTTTTACAAAGTAAAATTTCTTTTAATTCCGACTTATATTTAGAATAATGTAAATTATGTGATTTAATTCAATTCAATTTCGAATTTTACAAATGTATACATATTAATGTCTAGATTTACTAATGTAGATCAATCGATACATTCCAATTATAATTTGAAATTAAATTCGCAACTATTTAACTGTTATTAATAATTCGATGTAGCGTGAACTTTCAGTTTTTATAATTTATTCCCCTTGTTCCTCGATCGAAGAATTAAGGTCTTTCAACGATTAATATCTTGAATGTAATTTGTATATTAATCGGGCATAAGCCTCGAACAGAATTAAAATTTGATAACCATTTTATCCATTAAATTTTCATAATTGCAATTAATAATTTTTCGGTACTCTTATGATTATTATGTTTATGCATTTATTACGACCTCTTAAAGAATATACAAACTAATAGTAATATAAATAAATATACAACTATAACCACTATATATAGATATATGTCAATGTCGTTACATATTAAAGATGAAATATTAACTTTATTTATATTCGTTTTTTTTTTTTTTTTTTAGGAACTCAATAGACTTCGTAGGGCAGCTCTATCATTAGGTTTTATCGAGTTGTTGGAAGGATTGGCATTAATTTTTGAAAGAGAATGCACGTTATTACCACCAAACTTACATCCTGATTGTACCATTCAAATGGGACACGTTGCTGAAATGTTAAGAAAACCATACTCGCGCGAGCTAAAAAATAACATAACACCAGTTAGGACGAAATTTACTCCTGGAGAATAGTAGATTATGTTGTTATGAGTGATGACTAATGCTAATGACTAAATATTTCTTCTATCTTTTTCAAATAAGCATATTTGGAAAGACATTTGTAAAATTTTGAACATAGTAATTTAAAAAAAACTACTTAACTGCAGTCTATTTTTTATTCTATTTCAATTCAATTGCAGTTTTGCTTAAAAAAAGGAGAATTTCTAAAATTCCTTGAGCAGTTTTTGAACTCGGATATATATGTAAATCAGGAACGTGAACAAATAAAACTTGAGGCTCCCCTATGCTTAACGATTGATAATAAATATATTCACACAAATATCTTCCTGCGTCGTCGGAAATACTGGCTTTGCAATTTATTTCATCCGATTTTCTATTAACAGCCTCGCATATTTTTTTCACGTCACAAGTAGTTTTTAATATCTGAGAATCAATATCTTCTTCCTCTGGGCAATTATTAAAAATATCTGATTTGATATAGCCATTGTTATTTGCTTGACGTTCGATCACTAAGCATGTAGCGAGCCTCGACACACCTACATGCATTATTATCTGTAGGACAAAGTTTCAACAAATAAAACTTGTATATACGATTATTAATAATTTAGTATATTTTAACAAATATTCCATATAATGTATCGATAATATTTATCGAGCTATATATATATATATATATATATATATATATATTGATTTGCATACATATGAATTATATTATAAATCATATAAATTATTTTATGAAATCTAATGGAATGTTTTGGAAATTATCGACAACAATAAATAATAGTTTCATTCGCCAGCGAAATTAATACTTACAGAAGGCTTGTATTTTTCCCATAATTCCTTCACTTTAAACGACACTTGTTTGTATGCAACAGGTATTTCTTCGACAATTAAGTTAATCTTCATCGAATCTCCCAGAGTTTTGAATAATTCTGGAAGTTGTTTCACTGCCTCCCAACTTGCATTAATTTTATGAGATCCAAATGGTCCGAATCCAGTAACCAGCACTGTTAATCGAACTTCATTCTCCATTTTAAACGAATTTTTGGATTCTTGTACAACAACGTAAAATGACAATCGTGTCATACATATATTTTATACTTAAACGGCATAAGATTGTCCAGTGGTACGGGTACTACAGTATAGTGGATAAAACAGTATATTATTACTTCAAAATTTATTGTTTATTAAATCAAATTTTTACATGCTTAATATTTATTATTTAATTTGTACTTTCATACTACATGGCATACAAGTTTATTATTCCTTCATGCAAAACTTGTGCAATTACGATAATCTTAAGTACAAATAAGAATTAAGAATCGGTTAATTAAAATAAATGAAAAATTCCCTTTATCTTTAAATACGTTGTCAATCCCAAATAAATCCTAATTGTTGTCAATTGTTTATTACACTTTTCATAATCCGTTATTACTGCTAAGATTTATGCGGTATAATAAATACGTCACTATCATATTTATATTACAATAAATATTATCTAAATTATTCTTAAGTCTAGGAAATATAATTATTCTACTTTGTGTCTAGGTTAATTTTACATTAGGTTAGTTAAGTTAACCTACGTACTTTTTACTGTCATAACAATAACAATAATAATAATAATAATAATAATAATAATCATCATCATCATCATCATCATCCCCGTGGGGGCTAAATCTCGGTTATATTAATCGTTTGATTGATCGGAAAATTTATGTTGTTAAAAAGTAAATATGCTTTGTTTTAACGAAGTGCCAATTACCGTATTAACTATTTTTAAAAATACAAGAGTGAAAATAGTAAAATAAAGAATTAAAATTCTTAATTTTATTTGAATTAGCAAGAGATTTATGCTTATTTCAAAGTTTACCTTTTTTCATCGAATTCAAAACTATTAAAAGAGCCGAAAGCTTATACGTATTACTTAACAAAAAATGTTTTTTTTTTCTATTTTTTATTTTTTTTTTTAATGCGTGAACAAGCTGTTACGAATAAAATAAAACTTTTCTAGATATTAAAAACAAAATTTAAATACTTTAGAAGATTTAATATTCCTTAATTTATTTATTTCTTGTTGCACTACATACTAAAACATTACTTAGAATATTAATATTTTAGTATAAAATTTTATCTGATCCCTTATCTTATCATGATAAATATCGTTTAAAGTAACTTAAAAGAAATTATAATTTCCATGTTTATACAGTTACATTATTTAAAAGATCTAAAAAGTGATTTTTCGCTTTAATTTACATTTAAATTGCTTTACAATATATTTCTCAAAGTAACCGCTCATAAATGTTAATATAATAATTATGAAACTTTAAAAAGTGTTTTCATTAAAATTGAATTTAATTGTGCTGTAAAGTGTCGAGAGACGATGAATCTCTAATGTTTTTCTCTAATTCATAAATCTCTGTAACATATATATATATATATATATATATATATATATATATATATATATATATATATATATATATATATATATATATATATATATATATATATATAAGGTTTGATTACAATTTTCTCTATTCTACACATTTATAATTTATTGATGAAAAATAAAACAAAAAATGTATATATATATATATATACATTTTTTGTTTTACTTTATATATATATATATACATTTTTTGTTTTATTTTTCATCAATAAATTATAAATGTGTAGAATAGAGAAAATTGTAATCAAACCTTTTCGAGTTTAACAAAAATATGTAAATAGAAAGTCTCCAAAAATAGATCCGGCGTACAAAAAAAAAATATATACATATATATATATATATATATATAATAAAATAGAATAAATAATAAACGTATGTATTTCGTCGATTATAAATGTTGTGTAAGACGCCTCGATAAACAAATCCGTGACCATTGTACGTGGGTACTACATACGTTATAACAAATATTTACATTTAAAACGTAAATCTGATAATAGAAGTGATAAGTATAATATTATTATATGACATTAGATAAAAAGAAAAAAATAATAAATATATATACATATATATATATATATATATATAATAAAATAGAATAAATAATAAACGTCTGTCTTTTAATTATACAAAAATAAAATAAGCTGTTAAATATTGAATTAAAATTTACTAAAACGATGTTTATAATGTAAAGAATTTAAACAATAATTATAGGTTTCTTTAATTTATTGTACCAAAATTTGCATCTCATTCGGAATTATCAGCGACTCAATATATATATATATATATATATATATATATATATATATATATATATATATATATATATATATGTATATATATTTATTATTTTTTTCTTTTTATCTAATGTCATATAATAATATTATACTTATCACTTCTATTATCAGATTTACGTTTTAAATGTAAATATTTGTTATAACGTATGTAGTACCCACGTACAATGGTCACGGATTTGTTTATCGAGGCGTCTTACACAACATTTATAATCGACGTGCAAATTTCTTTATACATAAATAGATGAGCGATTTTCATTAACACTCCAGGACTGCAACTTCATACATTTATCATTTTCATCTTAAGATTCGATTTGCTTATAGAATTTCAAGTTAAAAGACTTTATATACTTTTCTCGTAAGTTGAAAAATAATATTTCTCTTATTGAAAAATTTGTTCGCCATTAAATTTCAAATTAAAAATTACCTTCAAAAAAAAAAAAAAAAGATTTAATCTTAAATTATTTTTTATTAAAATTACAAAATATAATTGAAATTAGTCAAAACATGTTTGATAAGTGCACTAAGGTGCAACCATCCGCGCGCGCACACACACGCACGCACACGCACACGCACAGTCGCGAACTCACAAATCTCTTGCTTATAATATGTTCATAAAACATTTTTTCGATTAAAATTGAATTTCGTTTAAGAAAATTTTCAAATCTGTTAAAATATTCATTGTTTAGATGCTAAAAGGTTAATTAACAGGTTAACCATACAACCTGTTCTAACTATGTATTTATATACAAGTAAAAGGAATTATTTGTGTGCATTTATACTTACACTTACGTTTAATTGTATATAATTATTATTATATGCAATATTACAGAAAATAGACATTTAATCATTATTGTAAATATTCGAGAAAGAAATATTCAAATAATTACGACCGAACAGAATTGAATGGGGAAAAAAAAAAATATATATATATATATATATATACACGTATGCATATGCGTATGTAAATGTCAAAATAAATGAAAAGGTATTGAAACGATAATTGAAATAATTTGTAATAAATGTCTTTTGACTTCCACGTTTAATATATTAAACGTGATATTTATTAAACGAACATTAACTCTCTCTCTCTATCTCTCATGCATAAATAATGATATGGTTAAATAATTGATATTAGTGTTAGTTAATTTATACCGTATAATACATTAATTAACGTTTTTTTTTTTATTATGCGTATGCTTTATTAAACGTATAACGTTTAATTAAGTAACGCACTAAAATTGCATTATATTAAAAAGAAGAAAAAAAATTGTAAATACAAAAAATAAAAATCTCTACTAAAATTCAATGATATTGACTAAAAATTCGCGAATAGTACATATTTTAACATGAGAATGCCTTGTGTACGTATTACTATAAACGCCTCTCTATGTGTGCAAGGGTGTGTATTTTTTTTTCTTTTTTGTTTTTTTTTCATTATTTTTTTATATGATAATTTCTTATACACATTCTTTATTTTAAAAAATATATATCGCTTTGGATTATAGATCGGTACGCAAGTTTTAAACTTGTATAATTGGAGCTTTGTTGTTGTTGTTGTTGTTTTTGTTTTTGTTTTTTGCTTATTACTCTTTTCCTTTTTGTCTTTTAACCACATTTTTTTTTTTTTTTTTTTTTTTACCTCTACAAACTACAACAACAATGTTTCTCGACTTTTTACACAATTATTGCATTCGGAAATAGATAGATAATTATATAGCATACATAATCGAAAAGTAGGTGATAAGGTGATTTTTCAACAAATGTTTTGTTTGCAAGAATAAGTCGATGGGAGAAATAAAACAACTTACAAAAAAAAAACAAGAATATTATTATTAAAAACTATATAATTCCACTTTGTTAGACAATCCAATTCAATATCAATAAATCGTCGCACTTACTAATAGTCGTACGAGTACGATCATTAATTTATAACAACTAATTAAAATAGCGCTAAGTGTATGTATATTTCTATCTTCATAAATCGTAATGCGTGAGATCTGAGAACACGAATTCATCTCGATTATTCCGATCTGGAGAATCGCTCGCCCTCTTAAAGCACTTATATTGTTTTTGTAATTTACTTTTTCATGCGTTTTACTCCGAATGAATACCACATTACCGTACTTTGCATGTTAATGAATAATTTGTCGAAACTAGTTTATTAATAGAAAGAACACTATGCAGAATTGGGTTCGTAAGATTATTATTGATTCATGATATTCGAAATATTTACGGCTTCTTTTATTAAGTAAATTTTTTTTTTTTTTTTTATTTTCCATAACATAGAAAAATAACACACAGAAAATTAGAATGTAAGGGACGTGTATTCTCGCCTGCTCTATTTGACTATTTTAGTAAAGTTTCGGGTTATCTCTGGTACATTTTATTCCGCGAACGAAAGAATCAGGCACGGATTCACGCATGTCTTTACTTTTATTTATTTTCTTTTTTTTTTTTTTTTTGGGTAATTGCTCTCAATAAGGTACGTTCAAAATTTTCCTCAAGATAGCATTATTTATTTTGTTTTTGTTTGCTTATTAGGCGAACCTTGAGAAAAAGAAAGGGGAAAGAAAAAAAAAAAAAAAAAAACAACACGGTTCTTTTATTTTACTTAAATGTAAAAGAAAAGAAAAGAAGAAACGAACAGTATTCGCATTGAAATTCGACTTCGTTGCAAGTGATATTGACCCAGCTTACGCAATCCTTTAAAGTATTTGTGCTTTGTTTGGAGTCGTTGTTGAGAGCCACGTGCGAAACTACAAATAAACAAAAAGAAAGGGAAGAAAAAGAGAGAGAGAGAGAGAGAGAGAGAGAGAGAGAGTGAGGGAGATAGGGTGATAGGGAGAGGGGAGGGGAGGGGGGAGAAAGACAAAGAAAACCGTCAAAGTTTCAGCGACTGATAATCTGTGTTAATTTGTTTGTTTCTTTACTTTCTTTTTTTTCTCTCCCTTTTTCATCTTCTTTGTTTTTACTTTTCATATTTATGGCCAATTTTTCAATTAAATTTGTACACTTGTGCCAAAGTCGATGTTTCATCTAACCATCGTTAAAAATTCCCTCGTAAAATTAAGTGGCGAACTTATAGACTAAAAATATATTATCGGATAGATTACATGTACATACAATCAGATTTTGACGGTTTATATCTAGTGATTCTCACTTGAGTAGCTTGTTTTTCTTTATTAATAATACCTGTTCGTCTCTGTTTCGCTCCGATTCTGCTTTTCTAATGCTCTGATTTTATAATGTTAATACAATTTTTCAGCTTTACATTTGAATTTATCGTCTGTAGAAATCAACGTCATCTTAAGCTTTACTTTGAATGCGCAAAACAGTGAAATCTTCTTTTATTCATTTTACTTAAAATTAATATCCAAAGTTACATAATAGATGTCTCTCGCACTGCACTTTTAAAATATTTTTCTTGTTGTTGTTAATTTCATTAGAATTACCTTAAGATCATATGAAAGACCAAGCAACATCATATAAAAAATTCAATTTCGTTTCCCTTTATACAATTTATTTTGTGAGTGAGTTAAATACTAGCATCTCCATATTAAACAATTAATTACGTCGTCATTATTTAAATAATAATTTTGATTGCTTTTATCAAAAATCATGTTATAATGCGTAAGTAAAGGGAATTTAGAAAATGGCAAATCTCATTGAAATAAAATCAATGAGAATTTTACATATTCACAACAACTTATCATCTCATTAAAAAAGAAAAGAAGAAAAAAAAAGAAAAAAAAAATTTATATGATTTCTCGTGGTATAATTTGAAATTATATATATATATATATATATATATATATATATATATATATATATATAAAAGAAAGAAAAAAAAGAAAAAGTTGAAAAACGAAAATAGAAAAAGCTTTTTGCCTTGTTCTTCTTACTCTACTACGACATTAAACAGAATCACAAGAGAAAAAGAGTTGAAGCCACTATTTTGATAAGCTTTGTAAGATCACGGACTTCTTTTTTCTCTATCCTCTATTAACTTTAAAAAACTAAATCTCAACACTAGCGACATTATATCTCTTTCTCTCTCTGCAAGAGGGTCGCACGTTAATTAGGTACATATCGCAGTGTGGTGTGTATTTATTTAGTTTTCTTTTTCTTCATTAATCTTCGAATATCTATAGAACTCGCGCACCTTTATATCGACGTCACACTTGTAATTCTCTCACTTAACGAGATTTCATTTTCCCTCAACGACTCATCATCTCACATCTTTTTCATTATTATTCCTCCCCTCCCTCCTAATTCCTCCTCCACCTTCTCTTCCACCTCTTCCTCTTTCTCTTCTCTCCTCCTCCTCCTCCATCTCCTCCTCCTCCTCCTCCTCCTCCTCCTCCTCCTCCTCCTCCTCCTTCACCTCCTTAACGTTAATGTACTCTGTGTCTATGCGTGTACATGTCGCTTTTCTCTAGCGCGGAAGAAGATTTCTTTATCCCTATATTTTCTATTCATTTTCCTCGACGCTCGATCCTTCTTTTAACACGGAAACAGCGAGGGCGTGCTTAAGCATAAGCGCACTGTGATCTTTCGGAGGCTCACAAGAAATCGTGTGACTAAGTTGGTTGTCTCGGTTGTCGTTTATGGCTGCGTTGAATAGTGGTGTTGTCGTCCCGTTCGCGCTGCTGGTATTTGGTTACAACTCCATGTCCTGCGCTTCGTCCTCGCTGAAGTCACTCATCGAGGACTCGCTGTCAGAAGAGACGCCGTTCCCAGTGCCCCCATTCTCCTGGTCCCGTAGCGCCTCCTCCGTCGCGTATTTCCTTACGTAGTCTGAAAGAAGAAGCCAAGCGTTTTACGTTCAACTTATTATTCGCGAAATCTTTAAGCGGGCATTTTGTTTCTTCCAACCAAGGGGCAAATTCAATATCGATCGAGTCTCAACGACTTAACTTATATTAAATCGATTTCTTTCAATTCTTATAAATAACAATTTCACGTAGACTGACCTGCAACTTTTTTCTTGTACTCTTCCGGCTTGTGAAGATACATTGCAGCTGCATCACCGTTCAACGGATCGATGGGATTCGGATATGTTAATAATTGAGGGAGGAAAGATTCGAAGATATTCGAGAGATCTGTAACAAGAATTATTCGACAATTTATAGAATGTCAGCCACGCATACGAACGTGGAAACAATTATGAGCAAGTGTGACGAAAAAAAAAAAAAAAAAAAAAAAAAAAAAAAAAAAATAATTTTACACAGCGTTTACATTATTTTTATGCATTTAAAATCACATTATTTGCCTTTTAAAATTCTATTTTATTCATAAAATTTTAACGCTTAAAACAGAGTTTTTATGTAATTTAAAACTATTCTCGTAATTTCAATTATAAACTCAATGTATTATCAATCCGATTCCAGTAACTTGTGACAAAAAAAAAAAAAAAAAAAAAAAAAAAAAAAAAAAACATAAAAAAAAAATTACTCCTAAGACCAATTTTACTTTTTTCTTTTGTAATATACATTCAACTAACGATAATCATTAGTTCATAATGTACTAGATTTTCATTTATATGTTCGTTTAAATATAGATTTACGTACTTACACGTGTGCGCGCGTATATGCACACGAACCCGTGCGCTGATACATGCGTAAATAGACGCACACGCACACGCGCACACTCGCGAAGGAGTTTTGATAAAATAGTATGTGCAAACTTGGCCATGTCGTTTCCAATACTTTCTATTAATTTATTTGGGAAAACTTTTATATACGAATACCGATATCGAGCTTCTTTTTGTTTCTGAAATCATTTTATATAATATTTAATAAGAAATGAAATATTACATTGGATTTGACGTGATTTTCTTTGGCTTTAAATTGTTGAAAATTTCTATTTTGACGATCGAGACTTTATTTTAATATCATAATCATATAATCCGTTACCATCTCATGTACTAGTCATTATAATATGATAAATAAGCCAAACGCGACCTTATTTGATTTATTTTCTGTTGTTGTTGCAATTGTTGTTCCTCGCAATGCATTTTTCGATGAAATTTCAATTAATTTGATAAAATGCTCATAACTATATTTACCTTAGCGTGCAAAAATTTGTTCTGCACCATCGTCACAACTTACGACGAGGTTCGATGATAATAAAAGGGTGATGGTGGAGGGGGACGAGTGGGGGAGAGGAGAAGAAGATGATGAAGAAGATGAGGAAGAAGAAGAATATGAAGAAGAAGAAGAAGAAGAAGAAGAAGAAGAAGATGATGATGATGATGATGATGATGATGATGAAGATGAAGAAGAAAGAAACATTTTTCACGATGGAAAGATAATTATTTATTGGCTGATAATGTGATTTTTGAACGTTTATATAAAGTTGGACAACAATGTATGTAATATTACCCACCATATAACGCTGTCCAAGCCTGATTAATGACATCAAGGCATACGGTGCCCGAAACCTCATCGATGTTGGGATGGTAGACTTTGTTCATGAAGCCAATGGAAGGCGATTTGAAAGGATAATGCTCCGGTAAGTGTACGCGCACCTTCCATATTCCACCCTCGTAAGGCGCTGAAACGTGAAACACGAAAGAAAGATCCTTTACTTTTGAGAGTCAATTTTATTACCTTTTATTAATTATCAAATATTTTGAAACGTTTATTAAGTACTTCTCGTAGTAATTTTTTTTATTCTTTTCTTTTTTATTTTTTTCCTCTGCCAAGCAAGACTAGAAGTTACTAATAATTAACACGTAAAAGTAAAAACGACGTGACCGTTGTCCTATCAATGTACAAGTCAGCCAGCCATTTGTTTCGAACTATTTAATAGTCGCAAGTCCTTGTCAGGGATAAGTTTTAAGCGGCTGAACTTTTAGACATTTATTCAAGTACAGGGATATCACGAATGCACTTATTTACCTTTTCTACCGTCTTTAGGCTAATAAAAATAAGTAAGTCGACATTATTCAATTTGAGTGCCAAATTATGCGAGCACTAAACTAAAGTAGCTAAAGCCAAAGTTCATCTTCGGTCTTATTTGCTCGCCAATATAAGTTATTAATGCTTCAAAATTTATAATACTTTATGTAATACTAGAAATCAAAGGCTAACGCAGCTCAAACCCCCTTATCGCTACCGAGATTTCTCAAATTTCAACACATATAAGCGCTGTCGAGGCGTATAGAACCGGGCGAATAGATATCTCGTTACGAAAATGTATGAATAGCTATTGTCTTTTATCTTATACAAATAAGAATACGGAGGGTGAAGAAATAGACGCGTCGTCGCTTCAATAGACAGCGACTCAAGACCCACAACAACAACAACAACAACAACAACAACAACAACAACAATATTACACTCGGCTCGAACACCATCCATTTTACTTCATTCCTCAATTGTTTAGCAATGGACATTATAATCATATCCTCGGTATGGAGATTACTTTTTTCACGCGAGATTCAGGATTATGTGACTGAAGGGAGAAGTGATTGTATACTAGGACTAAGCCATTAATGGTGTTCGAGCGAGGAGATAGATGAAGGAAAACGAGGGCCAAAAGTGTATTGGCCTCTCGCTCGACAACATCGTCATGCCGCGAGAGAGTGTAGCTTTTCCGCTTTCTCGTCCCATTTCTTTTAATTCCCGCATCTCCTTCGCTTAAATCAACACACGAGCAGCTATTTTCGCGGGTAGGGGTAGGTGGGGGTAGGGGGATGGGGGATTGTGTGATGGGGTATTGTGTGGGGGGAGGGGGGGAGGGAGAGAGGAGGTATTATGTTTTTTTCTCCCAATCGGTGCCCCGTTACTTTCCAAGTGCCTCCGTTGTGCGCGTGCACGTATTCGCAAACGCAGCGACTCGGCCACTTCCTTTTACCTGCCCATTACACGTGCCCATTTTCTTCGTCGAGTGCACGGCCTTATTTACATTATCTTTTCTCTCTCTCTCTCTCTCTCTCTCTCTCTCTGTCTCTCTCTCCCCTCCCCCTACGATCCTATCCTTCCTATTTTCCTTGGCTCGCTCGCTTGGCCACTACTGTTATTACTTCGACACGGGAAAATCAGCGATCGAGCGAGAATCACTCGGCACGTGACCGATTGCGATTCATCGGGGCCGCCTGTATTATGGCTGGATATTTTGCTTTCTTCGAGTTGCGAAATTTAGCTCAAGTTTTTCTTATTAGTGACTTATTAGAAGAGAAAATTTATTAATTACTATTTAGGTGCCGTAATAATCTTAGATTATGCCTATCGAGGAAATTAATTTTAATTATATCGACGATACTTTCGAACTGTGGGAAAGACGTTTTTTCTTCCTTTTTTTATTTATCAGTTGTTTTTTTTTTTTTTTTTTTTTTTTTTTTTTCCCTTTAAAAAAATAATTTTACCGTTACGAACCAAACAATTTACAAGCAAACACATTGACAATAATGTAACAATTTCATTAAAATATTGGATTTTAATACAATCTATTATTCTAACCCTTTTATCCGATTAATTCAATAAAATCTCGTTGCATTAGAAATTCTATAATCTTTTTGCTTTTTTCTAAAATCGTTTTGCTTTTTCTTTTATCTGTCAAAAATTTGAACGTAAATTTCATATATTTTCATTCTAATGATTACTGTTCGGATGAGCAGTAGTAGTACGCTCTAATAGATAAAGATAACGAATGGTATTTTTATTTAAGATTGCAAGAAATAAATAGCTAAAATTGAAAATAATGGTAAAACTATATTAATTAGCATATATTTGGCATATACTTTATGAAAGCTACTTTATTTAACAAATTATCACATAAATTTGTTGAATTTACATAGTAGTAGACATAATATTTATTCAACTTGAGAAGTTTATATTAATTGAATAAAAAATTTATTCTTTTAATGTCATATTCGAATACTACACAAGTATAAACTAATAATATTAGTTAAAGACGAATATTTTACATGAATTAAATATTATAAATTAAATATATATTGGCGTTTTATATTTATATATAATATTAAACCGGATATTAAACGGCTGTATTACAAAGGCGAAGTTCATCATTTTAATAAACTAATTATTTTAAAAAGAATTTATTCATGCCAATTTATCAAATGACACATGCATGATTTTTACAGAATAGCACTTTACAATATTCTGATTTGTTGACATATACACGTATATATATATATATATATATATATATATATATATATATATATATATATATAATACGTATAACTTTGCAATTATCAAAAAATCCAATTGTTTATTTATTCTCGGCGTCAACATACGAGAGGAATATTTTTATTTACTTTTTACTTTTGGTCCCAATCAATCCTTTGATTTTATATTTATCTGTTAGCTAAAAGAGTGTGCTTAGATGTCAGAAAAGAAATAAAAAATAAAATATAGTTTTACAGAATATATTTAGAAGAATAAATTCGCCATGACTAATCGTAACGATAGTTTAATATAAATGACCATTACTTTTAAATACATTATCATTCATTTCTTATTAAATTTCCTAGAATACTAAAAATTTTAAACCAAATCTTAGAATGAAAAGCCTTGCCTTGACCAAATCTCTCTCTATCTCTCTCTCTCTCTCTCTCTCTCTATATATATATATATATATATATATATATATATATATATATATATATATATAATACGTATAACTTTGCAATTATCAAAAAATCCAAGGCATTAAATTATTCATCAATTATTCATATTGTTTGCAGTTGATTTTTTTTCGTATTTAAAAAAATAGTCTTGTAAATTAATTGTACCGATGGTCTTTCAGGGTCAATATTTATTGATATTAAAGCATCTATCATGCCTTTCTAATTTAAGAGCTGCAAAAATACATATTTGTGGAAATAACTTACAACATCTTATAAGATTACATCAAAATTTTTACAAAATTTCATACACGAACGATAAACGATAAATTTTAAATATATATAGATTGAAAACATGACTAACTGTAGATGAGCAGATCACTGAACCATGAATAATTTGCAAATTTCGAATTCTTTCTGTCTTTGTTTTTCTCTCCTTTTTTTTTTTTTTATTATTATAACACTTGAAACGCGCGAGTTTTTATAGTTTTATAGCTATTTTAAGAAAAACATCCACTTTATTATAATTTACACGTTATTGCTATCTTTTAACAATAACAATGATATCGAGTTATAATCATAACGGCGATTAATATTTAAAATATTTATTATTTAAGAGATTAAGCCACTTTAATGCCTGATTTTAAGTTAGTGTTAATAAACACAGGAAATATATAATCAAACTATAGTACGTATAAACTTTGTTAATATCAATTTTTATATATGAGCTATTACAGTCCTTCGGAATCCTATACTTTATTAAACACTTCATGACACGGAGTATAAATCACTACTTGTTGATAATAAAGGATAAACAAAATTGAAAAAATTCATTATTTAATTAAAACATTATTAAAGCAAATCAGTTAAGAAAAACGTATGAGGATACACAATAAATATATATATATATATATATATATATATAGTTTTCAAAGAGAGTTCAGTTTTAAAAATCTTATAAAAATTTTAAGCGACTTAGTTAAAAATTTTTCAAACTTTGCTAGGCATCTATTTGAAAAGTATAGCTTAAAGAGAGAGAGAGAGAGAGAGAGAGAGAGAGAGAGAGAGAGAGAGAGAGA